CTAACTTTGCAAGGCCCTAGCGCCTTGTCGAGCGATTTCCATGCACGGAGTGCCACATCTGTGATTGCCCTCTAGAGTTCTATCCTTCAGATCGGGGAAATCGTTTACACGATTTCTGCCTGGGTTGTGCCTTGGTTTTGGCTAATAGAGAGGAGAAGGATCGCAGCTCAAAAGGCATGATGGATAAATTTATCCAAAGGCGGAGATGAATGCAGGAGACAGTGGTTTGTGCATGTGAAAGGCGCAGATGGCAGCTGAAACTACCAACGATGCTCAAAAAACACAAACTAGTTCCGGATGCCTCTTTCACGCTCAAAAGAATGAACATCTCTGTAAGCTCTGCCATACGGAAGTCAAAACGACGAATTTCAACATCACAGCCATGCAGAACAGCTGACATGAGAAAACAGCGAGGAAGTAGTGAAGAAGACGAAGAACATCCGGTCCCGCGGCTTCCTCTTCGATTCGATAGCCCTTCCTGCCTTGACCTTGAAATGACCAAAGACCTACAACGCAAAAAAACTCACGCTTCAGCGCGATGAGCGTGTGGTCAGAGTAATCCATCTTACTGTGGGCGAAGGGTACCCCCAGGAGGCCCATCGCGCGGCAAGAAGGCCGAGTCGGCGGACGAGTCGCGCGCGTGATGTGCGATGAAGGACGTGCAATGGGACATTCTATTTAACTTGACGCGATTTCCCTAATACGCGCGCGACTCGTCCGCTGACTCGGCCTTCTTGCCGCGCGACGGGCCTCCTGGGGGTACCCGTGCGCGAAAATATTTTCGCGTTACCAACATGGAAGCTCGGAGGGCGTTCAGAGTCCCGAAATTCCCGACGTCGAGATCGGAGGCATGTGCCGTCCTCTTCCAATGCATGTACAAGGATTTTGTTGTAAAGCAGTACATCTCATGCGCAGTAGCAGTACCTCATCGGCTGCCGCTGGATGCTGAACAATGCCACATTTATTCACGCCCTAGTGATCAGGGTAGGGCACGTACGGAATTTGTCTCTTCTAAAAGTTCTTACAAACAACATTAGACATTCTTGGTCCGTGCTACGGAATGTACTACATATCTACTACTTGCCTTATTCGGCATAAAGAATATTCAGTGGAAAATGTCTAAGATTTCCCGACTTGCGTGCGAATGCTGCTTGATTTGTGTTTTTTTCAAGTCAAGGTTTATATTAATAAATAAATCATTTATATATTTATCACTGTTCTGGTTCCTGATGAGTTATTGTAATGCACCTACTAGGGCATAATAAATGAATAATTAAACAAATAGCTACATTAATTCACGTTATGAAGATGTTGGTTGCCCTGAAAATTTCATTGCTCAAAATGAGAATGCGTTACAGCTGACGCAGCTCCACCTAGAGCACCACATGTAAAAAATAGCGTGTCAATGTCGAATATGGTTTCCTGCTGTTGTAACCCCTGGTCAGGACAACTATGTATGGCCTATTAAAAACCATTATAAACGAAATAATTGAAATGGTTCGTTTCGCTCCTTCCTCAGACGAACCTTATTATTTCGTCAATCCCCGGAGCTCATCAGTGAGTTGGGATTGGCGAAATAAAGACACAGGGGAAAGACGAATAAACCTTGAGTGACGTACAAATTTATCATGCAGAGGAGCATGCAAAGAAATTAAATTAATTTGTACAGGGGGGGGGGGCAAAAAAAGACATTTTGCCCATGTCGCACTTCGGCCATTTTTTCTTCGCAGAGATTGCCGTCGTTGACGGAATTTCTTCAGCAAAATATTCTTTAAATGTCCCTCATATAGTAGCACATATGGCGCGTCTTTTAACTACCTCAAACCGTCTTCAGAAGATGACGTCATCTGTCACCGTCGTCGAGCTCAAGGAGGCCCACAGTAACTGCTTCAGGTTGAAGGTCTTACAGAGCCTTGGATCGATTCAAGTGGAATAGTTTCCTAGGGACATTAGCTCTAACTATACAAAACCTTGCCCGGTCGGACCCGCCTTTCCGGTAACCCCGTCTATGCGGGTGTCGAGTCGACGACCCCGACCCATTTGAGCGTGGACCAGTGAGCACTCGCCCGGGCACACTGCCCCACTGCAAGCTTAAGGACCTCACACCTCGACATGTTTCCGGTGTTTCCGGGGCTTTTCTTGATGCCGTCCACGTAGATGGCCACTATGAAGATTTTCTTATGAAATGAAATGCGCTCTTCAATTCTAAGTTGGGAGCACACGCCTTTGAGCTGAACAAAGTGTGATTAAATTCCGTTAAGTCTGAGACACAAAATGTCTTTTTTTATTGCCCCCCCCCCCCTGTATTGCTTAACGTGACTATTAATTGGTTTAAACCTTATCACCAAACTATATGGAATCAATAAAGAGCGGTAAACATGTCTTGTGAGTCCACTTGTGATAGGTGATAATTCCAGCGATTGAGCATTCTTCACTGTTTATTAACATTTTTATAACAAATAGCTACTGAAAAATATACAAAAAATCAAAAAAATTGTAATATACAAACTTATTTTCATAAATGCACTTTGATTAATTAATTGCTGTTATTCCCCAGTGATAGCCCACACATAATCATAATCATCAAATTCAGTCGCGATTAAAGGGGATATTCGTCACAGCTTTAGACTTTTTTCTAATTTCGAACGGTTTTTCCGTCATCCTCATTTAAAACTATATTTATACGTTTCCAATTACCACGTCGTGCGCTTCGTTAACGTCTTTATACACGCTCGCAGGCACAGAAACTACGGAAGAATGCGAGAAATTTTGGGATTGGAATCTATGAGTAAGAAAAATTTTTGAAAAGCGTATAGGTAAGCGCACGCTACGAAGTCAAGGAATCTAGAACCGTAACTCAATAGGAATCTGGAAACACCGCTCTCAAACTTCTGAATGTTTTTGCAAACTCGTCGTTTAACCTATTTTGGTATGCGGTAACCGGCCATAAGAAGGCAAAGGTCAGGATCATTTTTAATATGGCGATCCCACTAGTAGTACGAGAGCAGGAATGTGAAGTGAATCACAAATAGAAGGAATATAGTCAAAAACACGGAAAATACAAAACTATTTGCCGTACGCTGCGCAGAAGTCTAACAATGGAGGTCGTCAGGGTGTGGCAAGCTTCGCAAAACGGTCTTTTGCATGATATAGGGGGCACATAGGGGAACCACAGAGCCAGGGTTAATTTTTCCTGAACGGCCCTCTGAATACCAGAAAAGGGGGTCCCTAGTCACACCTTTTTCACCAGTTTTTCAATCAAAGTCTATTTGTAAGGGTTACTGACGGTCCTAATCATGAATATGGTACTAATTATTCATGCTAACTCCATTTTGCGCGAATTTTGAAACGTCAACTCGAAATGCAAAAATTTGTCACCACGAGGAATCGAACTAGGGACCCCTTTTCTGGTATTCAGAGGGCCGTTCAGGAAAAATGAACCATGCTTCTGTGGTCCCCATATGTGCCCCAATGTCATGCAAGAAACCATTTTGAAAAAGCTTGGCACACCCTGAACGACCTCCCTTGTAGAGACAGTCACGAAATCGCAGATGATGTCGTGGAGAGAGCGACAAAAACCCGCACCGAGAAGAGCCTAGCTGGATCACCATCACCTGTATCACCTGTCGTCCCGTTGATCATCGAATTGCTCGAGCGGGCGCCAGCAACGTCTCCATTCGTCCCTGTCGCGTGCAAGAGTTGTCCAGTGGACCCTCCTCGCTCGAGGGACACGATGTCCTTCATTCCTTTCGTTCAGAGCTTTCGTGAAGAAGTCTGACCATCGGGCCGGCGGTCGTCCAGGTGTTCGTTTGACGTCCCGAGGGATCCAGTCGGTAACCGCTCTGGTCCAACGGTCATCGCAAAATCGCATGACGTGTCCGGCCAATACGTTCATAAACGGTATCGAACGGTAGACGTGTATGATTCGACCGGGGGTGGTAGTGGGCGCCTAGCGCTCTAGTGAAGCGTGTCGTGTCGCAAACGTCCGGCCTTTTGTACCTCCTGCGAGACCAAACATCATTACGGGAAGGACCTCGAGGCCTGAGCCCAACTTTGCCTTTAATAACTATTCCCGCACGGACAGCAGCTCCGCATTTAGGCAAGATTCGTCTCGGCCGGGGCCGAAGTCTTACAAGCGATGTTGTGATTAAACTGCATTTGAATTCCTTCTGGATGCATTCAGATGGCTCCCCACCTTTTTCCCACTAGCTAGACATTTTATTTATAGCAATTTGCAGCCACAGTTGTGACGTGCGCCGCCCATTTGGCGTGATCAGCGAGAACAATGAGCGACAATAACTTTCCATACATTTACACATTTATAGATTATTAAGCCTTTATTTATACGTGTATTCAATTTTTAAATATTTCACTTTATTAGCTTCTAAATAACAAGAAACTAATGGCAGCAGTGAACAGAACAGGCTTCCGCTGAAGGTATAAGGCGATAATTTGAGCATTCATGCAACAGCATGCGAGTAACGGTCTGCGAGAAAAAACAGTAAAGTGAAATATAAGAAGTCATAAGCAATAAAAAATCCGTGATGAGAATGACCCACACCAGGGTTCACAGAACCATTACTCCAACTGAGCTCAGGTCTTTACGGTGAGTCTCTAAAAGTTGTCATGGGACTTATGTAGGAATTTCAGTGCCATTTGTCGCCCGAGAGCCAACCAACCAAGCTATGGATAGATGGCATTGTGCTCGACTCACTAAGCCCCCAACAACCCAATGGCTAATAACGACAACAAAGTGACTACGCGTTTTTTGGGAATAATTTCGTTGGACTGGACCTATGCTACGTGCCCGATTTTTCAAATCGCGGGCCAAATTTACAAATCAATCGACAAAGGGGAATCCTCTCTGGAAACTCTATTTTCATTAACACCGAGTTATTAAAGGAGATTAGCGCCGGCTAAAGCGGGCTGAAACGAGTATGGGCAGAGCCGCCGAGGCAAGGTCAAACGGCTTTGGTGGTAGCGCTGATGATGAGGCGGTATCAGTATCCAGCTGGAGAACTCTCTTCCCCCTTGCGGAAGTCGCTGTTTGCGTACAGCTGGCCATCCGCTGCTCGTTCAGCCGCCGTAACCACCGTGAGATTCTGGACTTTCTTCAGTACATGTCCACGGGACGCCAATTCCGTCAAGTACGCCTGAAAACGAAATTCAGAAGAAGCTAAAGAAAGCCTTCTCAAAAAGGCGAAACTGACCTGAGGGAAGTTGGGCTCATAGGAGGTGGTATTGGGTAAAGCTGATTGTGGAGCCGAGGAGCATCTACAGCCTGTTTCACGTTGGCGTTCAGCCAAAGGCTATGGTATGCAACACCGGCTACTCCACTGATTATCGTCGATCCGCCCGCTCCTCCTACGGCTAGAACACGCTGGAAAAAAAGCTATTACATAAGGAATGTGAGAAAGCTGCGGAGGAGGACGATCAGGTAGGACGAAAGGTATGAAAGAACCATCATTCACGAGATGGCATATTTGGAGCAGATTTTCCTCGAATGCAGGGTCGATGAGCTAATATCAGACATTTTAAACATTCGTGTAAAAGTCTAGTGCCCATCTTCTGCGAAACATTCGTATCCCACCAGAAACCTCAAGGAAACTACAAATGGGGAAGTATATTCAATGAGATCTTGCCTTCGACGAGAATTCTTCGATGGCGCAATTAAAAAGTCAGAAAGCGAGTCTAATTGCTCACAAGAACGTCTTTCAGGGTGTGAAGCGCTTTTTCAAAACATTTTTCTGCTTGTTGTTAGGGCTCTTCCGGACCATAGAAGCCATTTTCAATTTCGCTGAGCGGCCCCTTAAGACCAAAAAAGGATCGAAGATATTTGCTCGGAGTGGGTGATTTTCTGGCGTTGGATTGATGGATGGAAGTTCTGGCGAAGTCTCCAGCCTTGGTAATGAATATTACACCAACTATTGGTTTGGCACTATTTGGAAGAAATTTGGAAGCTCCATCCTAAAATGCAAAAATTCGTCGCCACGGTGAATCGATCACCTTTTTCTGCCTTCACGGGGCCGCTCAGCAAAAATGGGACTTGTTCTGTAGTCCATCATCCGCCCATCAGTTCCTATCAGAATGCAGAGAAAACGTGTCAAAAAAGCGCTTAAGACCCTGAAAGACCTTCCTTGTCACTGCGACCCCTGGACAGGATGCTCACCTTAGCTTTTCTTCCGGGCGTTTTGTCGAAGATGATCAGAGGGACTTTGGCTGCTCATTCGGTCGCTTCCCGGGTCGGATGAAATTTGCTGGCGACGGGGGTATCCCGAAAGTGTTTGGATGATGTGGCGTTGAAAAATCGTCCATCTCGTCGTTCCACAGAATTCCCGTCGACGGAGACCGGTTCCACCTGCAGCTCAAGGCCATGCAAAACGACATTTCGAAATATGCAGAGATCACCGTAAGAGAAGAAACACTATTCTTATTCCATGTCGTCGTTCCACAGGCTTCCTGAAACCTGGGCATCCCGACTGTGTCTTGCTTTGTTTAGCCTCCCGAGTTTGTTATGGCAGAACACTTTGCTGGTCCGCATTCCGAAGCAGATCGCTTTTCAAGACTCTACTTAACGGTTCCACCTGCCCCGTGCACAGCTGACAAAAAAGCTTTTTTTATTAACTGAAATTTAAATAATTGTCCTCAATATTTTTATTTATTAGCAAAGCTATTTTCATTAATTATAGGTTGGTTTGAGGTTATTACAATGATTTGCTGTGCGGATTAACCTCGCTTGGCACGTGCTCCTTTACGACGGCTGAACAACTTCCATCCGTCAACCTCCATCACAGCTCACATCGTCGTTGTCATTGCGGCTGAGTCACCGGCCCAGTGCCCGATCAGTAGCAGAGACTGATCTTCTCTGCTGTCCTCCTTGCAACAGGCCCATCTGAGGATCGCGAGCCACAATGGTTTGTCGTTGATCTATTCCGGCTCCTGGTTATTTATTCCATTGTGGGTTTGAACTCCTACACCTGCTGGCTGAAGGTCTGCATATCACCATCGACCTTGGGGAATGTTGATTTGAACAACACCAAAATATCTGATTCCAAAAGAAGTTGAGGGAAAGCAGCTGTTTTGTGAAATGCATAACTCGCCGGTCGGCTGTATAATAGCAGTAAAAGAAGTTTAAACTCATAGAAAATTGGACGACCTTCGACGAAGGCTATACTGGCGAAAACAGTCAATAAGAAATCCGTGGGCCTTCTGGCTTGTGGCGTGTATCTTTTGACCCACTCCCATGCATTCTCAAAGGAATATTCCCAGGAAAGTTTTTGCATTTTGTTCCAGCACGCAATTTCAGTTGTACATAATCACTAGGGACAACCTACAAAGTTTCATGCACAACTCAGTTTCCGAGGAGAAGCAAAGTTACGACAACCGCTCTCTATGGACGGTCAAAGGTAGGTTGGGCGGAGGCAAGGAAACGTACGTTCAGAAGTGGCCTTTGGGCAGCCACGCATTGAAAGAATCTAATGAAAGTGCATTTGCATTGAAAGAATCTAAAAAGGATACAAAACGATAAAAAGGAAGAAGAAGAGGACAAAACGTCGTTAGGATAGAAGGGATGTTAACGGAATAAGTCAAAAGGAAAA